TGCTAGAGTTACATAAACAATATACTGTATTTTAAATTTAAATTTAGCATAAAAGATTTCTTTAGTTCAAATAATACGTCAGGAGTTAATATATCTCTTAATAGTTGATAATATTTTTGTCCATAATCCATCCATAATCATCAACTTTTTCCAAATTCTTGTTGTTCGGACGTATTTTTGTTTTAAAATATTGGCCATGAAGGTGACAACCTTCATGGCATTGAGCTTTTACACGGAATGGTTGGTGCCGCTGGTAGAGAGGGTAGCGGAGAGTTTAATGAGACTAATTGTCCACTTCTAAAAGTCAAGTCCGCGCAACAACATGTTTAATAAATAATAAATAAATATATCTTATTTGATTATAACTTAGTAAGAAATCTGTGATTGTAATTAGAACTGCAACAAATACACACAAATGCAAAACAAATCAGTGTTTAATACAGTTCACAGCTACAGGGTTAAATTATAACTCAACAACCTGAGTTATCGAAGGAGAGTTTTAGTAAATTTCATAACCATAGAACGCACATACACTTGTAAATACATAATCTTATCGCGATCTTCATCTATATACCATTAAAGAGCCAAATTTATACGGTTCACATGCATAACTAACATTATAATTGCAATTAAATTTAACACAAAAGATCTATTTAGTCCAAATATAAGACTTAATATATCTTTTAATAGCTATTGATAATTGTTTTGTAAAGCTGTTTATAATATTGTTTTTTTTTACAAATTTTTGTAGTGCCTAATATTGTCGATATTTTGTCCTATATATCAGTGAAGATCCCAGAATTCATACGTTTCACACTTTCGCTTATTCCCATTGATAGAGAAAGCGCATTTTACTTTTAAACGGAAAGTGATGAAAAGTAGAAGAGCTCCGCAAATCCGAAGGACAATCGCGTTTAACGCCGACTTACACACGGAGGCACCCGCCGCCCACGCACACACGCAGGCCGGGCAAAAAAATTCATTCAGACCTGGGTAACAGAATGCAACGGTGTAAGCGAAATAAGTTTTTATATTTATATAAATTTCTAGGTTTTGACTATAGACGTTAATACAACGTAAGATTTGAATAACTTAAGAGGATGATATGTGTTGTTCTTTAAACGTCATTTAGAATCTATATAGTAAATTATATATGCTATTTACCTTCATTTCTTCGTGAAATATTAAAGTATTCTGTATAATATATTAATTGTTTTAAATATATTCAATATCGCAACGTGACAACAATGAGTTTTCGAAAAATGAAAATATCTTGTTTGCCTCTACTTTACTAGGTAAACAAGTAATTACGAAACATTGCTTGTTCAATACACTCTGTAATAAATAAATATTATTATTTATTTCTAATGGGTGTTCTATGGTATGATGGCTAAGCTCACGGAAGCGTGGACGGGTTCGGGTGTTCGAACCACGCTCTGGACAATCACTTGAAAATACAGATCAAAAATATGTTTCCAATTGAAAATTGCACATTTCGGACACTGCGGTGTGAAATGACAAGGAAAATCTCTAATACTATTTTTCCCTGAAACGAGTTGGAGTTTAACTCAGTTCAAGGATCTGCTCTAGAGCAGTACTACCCATTATTATTTATTATTATTTGTTGCAAAAAATACCACAAAAATGACTTAATTGATAGTGACTTCATTATTTTCTGTTTATATTCTGTGAATTTGTTGCATAAAGCGATGATTTCAATGTGAATAAATATTAGATTATTTTATTTTGAGAAATGAACTGTATGATTCTTCTTCATAATTATTATGCGACATAAAAAATTGTGATGATAATATGATATTAATTTAAAAAAATTATTAAGTGAAAGAATGATTCTTTAAAAATCTACAGTTATCTGCTCTATTTCTAGATCAAAACGATCACAGACAATCACAGTGATTGATACAGTACAGCTTTTTATGATGATTTATATATTTCCCATCTTCTATTGTCTGAGCAGAAGATAAAAATACAATATTGGCATTATATTGTGTTCGATTGATCCCATAGCAGAGGTACCTGCGCGCACACACATACACAGCATGTGTTTTATCGCGATAAGCTGTAGGGGAAGTCGGGAGAAGTAAGACTAGTCTAACAACTTGTAAGACTTAGACTATAGACATATATAAATATTCATTATTAAACCGTGTTTGTTTAATCCTTTTAAATAATTATTTACATACTAACAATAAGATACTAATTATGAGGAAAATTAAAAATAATGCAATAATTCTGAATATGTTGATCGATGAAAATCATGCATCATGCTCATTTTATACTATACTAAAGATGTTATTAGAACTAATACTTTTAATTACGATTAATAAAATTAAATATAAAAGAAAAACCACTTAGATTATTAGTAGAAATATGTTATTATCAACAGTTAGATTTTATTTTGTATATATTTTTGATATACCTATTAATGAATAATTGGCATACCTTAAAAAAAATGGATGTGTGTTGTGTGTGTGCGTATGTGTGGATACAATTTTTTGTCAATGATTTAGAAGACACGGATCAACCGATTCTAATAATTCAGTTTTTGGCAAAGGCAAAAGATGCCAAAAATGGTAATTCAGTTTAAGGGGAAACGGAGCGCCGATTTGAATGGATCTAAAAACATTTTAATCGTATTGAAAAAATGAAGAGTATCTATAAGAACTAAAGAAATTTAAAAATCTGTATCTAAAGAAAAAAGCAGAAAAACATGCCATTTGGCGGTTAGACGCATGCGCATCAAATTATTATAATAGATATTTTATAAAGATTTTAATAATAAGTATAAATTTTGGTTACCTTTCTATGGTTTCCGTACCAAAATTTATAATGTTCAACCGTTAGACTGCAACGCAGCGCTTATGCGCTTCACTAAAACAACTCCGCTTCAAAATTTTCCACATCTTTCAAAATATGAAACAAATTCATATTTTTAAAAAGTCAATTTTTTGAAAAATTTCATAATTCTCAAAAGAAGTACAGAAAATTCCAGCAATTTGCCATGGCACGATGGCGATGTAATTTATAATTATTATTGTAATTTTGTTATTTAATTATATTCATCTGGTTGTAATTTTGACAAATATCGACATATGTTCGACTTATCAATAGCTGATGATAATACATATCAAAATACGCGCAATATTTTCAGTTAGTCATGAATATAAATATTCTTTTAAAATAATAACGAATATTTTCAATGTTTATATTTATCGTTCATATCATAGAAATGGATTAAAAAAATAGGTTTTGTTATTTTTATTCGCACTCTTGTTTTTTATCACAATTTTATTTATGCTTCAACAAAGATAAAATATATCTAAACTCATGTACAAATCAGGACGTGTGAGTTGTTTAATATTTATTATTAATACTTTCAAGACGACCTCACCCGGTTTCTTCTACGGTTTTCTCGCGAAAATCTGCGATATGAATATATGAAAGTAGGGGATTGAAACACAGAACGATTGAGGACTTTATGAAATCTCTACTAAGAGCGTAATCCTCTAACAGTGGATTGGATTATAATTCATTTCTAAAATCACGAGTGGCTAGAGACACTCGAACACTGAATACCTCCCATTGTGTTCGCTGAACGGTTGTGTAACAAATGATATCTTTAAAAATATTGCTGGGGTTAAATATCTATTGGTTACATAACTTTTCTATGTGTTCCGAGGGCTTCGGATCAAATTCGGCGTATGGCGCATATGAATTTCAAGTAGCGAGTTGGATTTTTTTTTTGATGCAGCATGTTGGATTTTAAAATATGTAATACGGTACTGCAAATCGGATTATAGAAAACGGAAATTGTTTTTTAATGTTATTACAATTTTTATACGCCCGATTAAGCATTTGATAATAAGTTCAATGAATACAAATCGAAAAATTTGTGATAAGTAGGAGTAAGACTTATTAATACCCCGGCATAGTGTAAAAAAACCCGAAATTTTGTAGAAAACATACATTTTCTCTATTTTTTAAAATTGTATATCCGGTTTTATAGAACCATTAGAAAATATATCAGAACTGTAACAAGACTTGCATGCTTTAAACCTTTCAAACTGTAAGACAAATGCATCTAAAACTTAATCAATAAGAATGTATTTATCGTTACTTGAACTTGATAAATTACAAAATTTCAGCACAAAACCAATATTTTTTTAATAATTTTGATTTTGATATTTTGCAAAAATTACCTGTTTAATGATATATTTACAAGGTGTTCCAGACCTAGACTATAAAAAAATTGGAGAGAGAAACTTAGATTGTTTGCACATTATGAGCTTTTAAGTGCAATCTAGAGCTTTGGTAAAATTATGACATTTTTTTGGTTATTGTGGTTAACTTTTATTAATTTTGTTCATTTAAACTTTGGTACCGTAACCGTAAATAACATTTCTATAGGACCACAACCAAAAACAATAACACATTTGCCCAAAGTTTATAACAATTAAGACTTTTAGTTGAACTACATCGGTCGACTTTGAGAAACCCTCCTTTAAAAAAATGTACTAAAGTGTGTTGGCGAGTTTCAAAAAAAGTTGGACAATCAGGATTGTAAAATGGTAAAATACTTGATAATTTTATTATTGAAAAATGTTGAGAAAAAAAATAAAAACCTAAAAATTACATCATTTTTGATAGTATATATAAACAAATTTATATATATATATATATATATATAAATTTCTAAGAATTTCTTTCCGTCACCCTCCGCAATGGCCACTCGACGTGCCACTTGCGGAGTCTTGATGTCAGATTTTAATTGTGCAGAATTTCGCATATAAATCCAGTTTACTAATAATAACCATCTGGGACAGACTACCCTTCATTTTAGAAAATGTCATTTTGCTTTGAAGATACCTCGAACCTCCGAACCAAGTGTTTTAATGAGTTCTAGCTCGCGACGAAATACGACTGCTTGAAGAAACATACGCGCAGTGGAAAATTTTGAAAATAATAAGATAAGCCAGACGGATTTCAATATTCTTTGCGAGAAAATCGTAAATGTTATATTAATTGATAGTTCAGTATGTACTTTTATACAGGATTACATATAAATTTTGGTCAACATTATATTATTTTCAGGATCAATATTAATTCCACATTTCGGCTTGAAGTCGAGGTCTGAGACACCCTGTATATATATTAGGGTGGTCCTTAAAATGGTCATTTTCGAATTTCCTTGCTTCCAGGGGCTCAAATGGTTCCAAATAGACAAAAAACATTTCTCTGAAAGTTTTAGCTCTTAATATTAATATAAGATAGAGCGCAATTCAATCAAAGTTTTGTACCTCGCTAAAAATATCCAACATGTCCATTTCCATATCCCTTTTTATTTCTCCAAAAAGTGTATTAAATGAACCTCTCGTCACTTGTATAACAATGTTCGTGATATTTTTCCTCACATCAACCTCTCGAGTGTCATTTCACTCAGAATGTCCTCATACGTCTGTCTTGCATATTGTTAACCCTGTCTTTTATTCTTGACAGGACTGCGAAGAAAACAGAAACGAATAAAACCATTTAGGATAGCAGTTCTGACATCATGTCTGTATACCGTACTCGATATAATATAAAATGTATTACGTGCACGAAAAGCAACACGGATACATTTTTGAATTCATTAAATGCAAATTAAAGGTGCTACTGCACATACTATGTGATGCATTGAAGTAATTGCAGCGTTTATAATGACGAATATTAAGTATAGTTTAGTCACCGCTCGACCGAAAATGATTGATGTGAAATAATTTTATATGTTATTTGAGTTTTTCTATTATATTTTAAGCGCAATAAATGAAATATCATGTGCTGCATGAAATTGTGACATTACAGTTAATACGTCTTAATAATTTCTGGTACAATGCAATAAAGTCATTGAAATAAGCATATGTAAACCATTAAGAAAAGTATACAACGATCGGATATTAGATTAGATTTTATAAATAGTTTTCCTACATTTTTGCAGCATTAAAAAAAACTTATTTAAAAAATATGTATATTGAAAAGCAAAAAACACTTAAGCGCATTAAAAAAAACTTATTTAAAAAATATGTATATTGAGAAGCAAAAAACACTTTGTTTAATTTCGAATTGTTCAATATATATTATATTTTCTCATAGAATCATAAAATTCAATTTTGTTTATTTTAATTAGGAGTTCGATATTATTGAAATTGCCTATATTCCTATGTATAGAATAAAGCAATAGAATATTTTTGAGATATATTACTGATGAATAAAGTAATCGTGTATTACTAACTATATGTTGTTAGTAGATGATATCTACTGTTGTAACATCCACTTTGCACAATACAATTTAAAAACATAAAATTCGTAAGAATAATTTAAATTTTTCACTACCTATATTGGAAAAAATTACGTTGTCTTCAAAACAACAATTTTGACTACAACCCTTGGTGTACAACGTTATGTTATTTTTAGCTTTTCATTTTTAACTCGAATTTTTTTTCATTATAAAACTATCAAGTATTTTAACATTTTACAATCCTGATTAAATGTGCCAACTTTTGATGCTAACACACTTTAGTAGATTTTTTTATGAAGGAGGACCTCTCAAATTCGACCAATTTTGAGAATATTAAATTCATATTGGTTTAACAAAAAGTCTTAATTCATGAAAATTCGGGGCAATTTTTTATTGTGGTCCCAGAAATGTTATTTAAAGTTATGGTTCTAAAGTTTAAATGAACAAAATTAATGAAAATTAGCCAAAATAACCAAAAACAAGCTTTTAACAAAGCTCTAGGCAGTACTTAAAAGCTCATTGTTTAAACTACATGAAATTATGTTAAATTTATGTTCTATTTTTTTAACTCGGATTTTATGAAATTATCAAGTTTTTTAACATTTTACAATCGTGATTAAATGCACCAACTTTTGAAACTTGCCAACGCACTTTGGCACACATTTTTTCAAGGAGGGCCTCTCAAATTAGACAATATTGAAAATATTAAATTCACGGTTTAACAAGAAGTCTTAATTCTGAACAAAACAAAAAATCTGAATTCTTGAAAACTTCCAACAATTGTGTTATTAAATGTGGCTGTGGTTCTCTAGAAATTTACGGTTATGGTTCAAAAGTTTAAATTACCAAAATTAATAAAATATAGCCACAATAACCAAAAATGGTCACAGTTTTAACAGAACTCTAACACTTTAAAGTTCCCAAACTACATAAATATTTTTTTCGTAAAAGTTACGATCACACCGTTTCCACTTGACGATGAGTTCTGGGGCACCCTGTATTTATCACCCTGCATCAATTATTATATTATTTGAATGTAGTTAGAAAGTTCTAAATATTTCTAAATCCTCACTAATTCTAAATTAGATAATATTAATAATATTTTTTTTGACAACAAATAATTACCTTTTGTTTATCCTTTTTTTCAGAGGAGGATCTGATGCACGGTCACTCTGCGTTGAACCAGAGTGCGTTGTTCGGCTGTTCGGCCGCCGGACACAGCGGCATCAACCAGCTGGGCGGCGTCTACGTGAACGGGAGGCCTTTGCCCGACTCGACGCGGCAGAAGATTGTCGAATTAGCGCACTCGGGCGCGCGCCCTTGCGACATTTCGCGGATTCTGCAAGTGTCCAACGGATGCGTCAGCAAGATATTAGGAAGGTCAGTGATAATAAATTATTGAGTACAATTTAGAATAAGCCATGGTGGTTGCTAAATATTCACGGTAAGGTAGGGTTGAGCGGGGATAGCTGAGCATAGGGGCAAGTTGAGCAATCGAAATATCTCGAAAATTATTCACCGTCCGTTTAGACATTATATGGCGGAAAGATAGAAGTTTGGCAGAAATAAACATCCCGCGATCGCTAGTGGCCGCTGGATAAATGAGTGAGGCTCACGGGCGTGAAAATAAACAAATATTTTGAGACCAAAAAGTAAAAAAGTCATTCATCACGAGTTTTCGTCTGGTTTAGTCAAATATTATTTATTTTTAATCAGGTAAATGTTACTCTTCTATATAATTATAGTACTTTTAATATGCACAGAGATTCTGGGTATAATTCTCACGTTTTTTTTTATAAACTCACTTTTATTTTGAAATTCCGAGTTGGGGTTAGTTGAGCATAGTTGCTCAACTTGTTCTGTCACTAAGACAATTACCATTAACTTCCAGAAATTAATTATTATTTTTAAGATTTAAGCTAAGTCTATGAGTAATAATATAAAGAAATAATGATTTTAAACAAAAATACTGAATATAATGGTAAAATAATTCCTAAGATACGATATTGTTTTGTCGATTCTACTTTTCATTAATTATTCAAAGCAAATTACTATAAGTTTTGTTTTCTCTGTCAATAAAGACTATAAATATAGAACTGGTTATTAAAAACTTATTTTATTTCATCACTAATCGACATTGAACCTATGATTTCATTATACTTTCTTAGTGCTCATCTTGCCCCACCTATGGGGTACATTGAGCATACTTGACTTTTGCAATTAAACAGCTGTAGCTTTCAAATTTTACTTATTAACAAAAAATAGTATTAACACTTTTGTTAAGCGATAAACAACAAATCCATTAAGCCGTATAGCAATTTATTGAGACTTTTCATTGAGGAGCTACATCCGTTTAAGTAAAAATTTGCTCAACTAGCCCCGCCCTACCCTATATAATTGACTATGAAGCGTTTACAAGATGTGATATACTTAGTTGAAGATGGTGTTGCAGTCTAAAGGTTATACTATACATTATTAATCTCAATACCAAAATGTGAAATAGAAAAAAATGTACTTATTATTAAAATCTATCTAAAATATCTAATAATTTGATGTGTATATGTCTAATGATCATTTTACCACTGCCCACTCAAAAATGTAATCAATCTTCATTCCGTTAATACAAGTAAAATATTGTTGAATCATTCAAATCCGCTGAAAATTCGTTGAAAATGTATTTGAAATATAAAAATTACTTCTAAGAAACTAAAAACCATAATAACAAATTAGAATTATCAATAATTTTACTCAGAGTGAAACAAAATTTGACACATTTTATGCCGTCTTTAGATAACACTCGTACACACAGGTTTTCAAGCGGATGTTGCCTATAGTCGACGCTCATAGCAAAAGGGTTAATTTTCGTTTGAGTCGATGAAATGAAATAGTCATCATTAATTTTTGAGTTAAAAAGTTCACAAAAAACGCATCTAGGTCTAGCACAAACTGGTCGCGGGTTCGACGGTTCGATTCCAGCATCGGCCAAGCCCGACATCAGGCAGCATGATGTCAAATTTTCACTTGAAGTTATAGATCTCAAATATGATCACAAGGCAAAATCGCCTTTCGTGGGCATAGCCGCAATATCACAGTTAGTGAAGCAAGTCACTAACATCGTTCAGAAATAATAAAACTATATATCAGTCCAAGTGAGGCAATCAATGGAATGATTGCTTATAGCGTCTTATAATCGTAGAATTAAGCAGCTTATAGAACCTAATAGTTCTGATTGCTGTTAGTCAATAAATAATAAAAACTATGAATAAAAATTGGCTATAAATATTTGGCTTTTGCACTATCGATGTTGACTGAATTGAAAGTTCATTAATCGACGTTTCGTCAATATCTCTCATCCCCAAGTCAGTGAATCGGCGATGAAATTTCACACCGGAAAATTGACGCACACGACGCGACGCGAAGCGTTTGCGGTAGCAAATGCGTGTTTCACCCTCCGCTGACCAAACGCGATAATTTGACGTAACGCGATACTCTCTCGACATTTTTCGGTTTTGGTTTTCACACTTGCTACCGACTACCGGCGCGGCGCGCTGATCGAATCAAACTTCGCGTATGATGATCCGCATGGTGGAACCGAATCGTTCTACTGCGAAACTCCTTAGGCGGCCGTACGTTGCATTAATAAATATCGCCAGATAGCAATGTAAAGAAACTCATTCGCTCTTAAGGATTTAATAATACAGCATATGTATAAGACGTTTAGCAGATAATTGTAGAATAAGTTCATCGCTCATTTAGAATTAACACTTACGGGACGGCACCGATTCCAAAACAATATACTATACCGGCTGTAAACTTGATTTCATTGTATATGTTATGAAATTTGTTTGATAAAAATTTGTGGTCATTGAAGGACATACATTTATAATATTAATTTATTTTTGATATTTTATAAAAAAATTGTGACGTTCAAAACAATTTCCAAAATGCATAGCTGATGGATTTTGACATGTTTTACAATTAAATGTTGTTCGCCGCCTTCCTTCTAGTACTTTTCTGTCAAAACAGACAATACAATCCCTTTTTCTTTTTCTCGCATTTAGAATATGCCACTGATTAGTCCGTATATTTGTTTGTACTGCCATAATGGTTTATTTTTTCTATTATATTGTCTAATAGTTCATTTGTAAAATATAAAGTAAAATAATCTCTTGGATGTCTTATATTGCTTGGTATTTGTAGTCGGGGTGTTTGTTGATGTATGTCAGACTCGATTATTGAAGGAGAATCGGCACATTCGCTAATGTCTTTCTGCTCTTCATTTAATTTCTACAACTTCTTCTTCTTTTTGTTGGTTGGATAATATCATCATCACATTCATCACTATCTTCGGTGCGAATAGTAATATCGTAAAATTTGTCTGTTTGAATGTCTATTTGAAACTCATTTTCACTACTGCTTAATTTATAAAATTTACCAGTCGTTTTGCCATATTTAAAAGCGCTCGATCGTTTTAAATATTAAAAAAAAACTATATAGCAAAGAAAAAGGCTAAAAATACTACTCAAATAACTTAACATTATTTTCAAATTACAACACTGTTTATCACTGCTATATGTAATTTATTCAACTTTTTGATGCAAACTTAGTCATTATTTATAAAATAGCCTGTGCCTCAGAGAGTATGTTTATCCTCTCATGTAGACAGCCGTCCCCAAAGAGTTAAATTAAAACAACATTCTAATGAGTAAAAAGTAAACAAAACTTCTTACCGAAATTTTATGACAAACTTGTGATTTTAAAACTTGAGTACTCGACTACAACGACCCAAGCAATCTAGAGCTAACTATACACAAACAATTGAACGGAACGAAATCACAACAAATTCACAAATCAAACTTCATGAACGTAATAAATAAAATGACATTGAGTAAATATGGCTGCCATGTAAATCTTATTGCCATCTATTTTTAAAAATAGCATACCCAATAAATGATACCTTTCACGTAATCCAAATATTTCTATCCTACACATATACATATTCAAATTATGTGATAGGGATGTCGCCACAAAAAGTTTTTTTCTGTTTTGTTAAACAATATCTTGATCAAATTTTTTTGTATCAATTTTGTTACTTCTTATCTAATGGGTATCTTTTTTGAATTATTTTTATAAATATAATTTATTTACCAATTTTTGACAATCTCAATTTGTTAAGAGAGTTTTATTTGATAGGGTAGGGCACAAACGTTCATTCTGACTTACAGTAATTTTATTGTCTAAACCAAATGAATAACATTACAACTACCGAACTGTGTTCAGTAAAATTTTCAGTTAATTCCTAATTATATTGTTTTATTTTTAATTTTAAATGCTAAATAAACATTTTGTGAACACCTATTTTACAATGGTCACACTGTATATAAACTTGATCTGGTACTTCGTCAGAACTATTCATCAGCATAGTTGGAATAACTGTTAAATTAATTTATATCTGTAAAATTGCTTTTTTAATTTAAATTACTATATTCTTATCGTTTACACCTTTGCCAGTGTAAATGTTGATGTGGTTCGTTTTACTTCAACCACATGTAAGTCTTTATAGAGTTTATATAAATGAAGTATTGAATCTAACTTAAACATAACAATATATCTTATGAAACAATTAAATAACGCATACTTAAAAATTATATTCAGGTATCATAAACTAAATAACAGAGCTCAAAACTAAAAAAGTACAACGATAAAAAATACTTTTGTTATAAATATTCATATACCACCGTTTATATCTTTATGGCGATGTCGCACGAATTGGTTACACATCTTTTGTCCTCTACTTTAAAACAGTATTGTTAAAATATACCATACTTTACTTGTTTTTGAGATGATGCTAGACCTTTTTATGTGCAGACTTTTAAGCCCCAATATACCCTATGCCATATTATCAAGCAGCATTTTGCAAACTATAGAGTAAATATTTTCGACGTTGATTGTATATATAATTATTCATTTAATTCATAACAATAATTGTATATATTAAAATTAATTTTAATTTTTCAATTGCAGATATTATGAGACCGGTTCAATAAAACCCCGAGCGATTGGCGGGTCCAAACCTCGGGTAGCAACCACACCGGTCGTGAATAAAATCGCCGATTACAAGCGCGAATGCCCAAGCATTTTCGCTTGGGAAATTCGAGATCGCCTTCTCTCCGAAGCGGTCTGCAACAACGACAATATACCCAGCGTAAGTACAAATAGTAAATATATAACATATATTCATTTTACATTATGCAACATACCATATTGTGTGTACACAACATCATGCTGATGTAATTTCACTAATTAAAAAATCTTAACTATGCGCTACAACAAGCGTGTATTGTAACAAACAAATATATCGTGCACAGTTGTCAAATATTTGCTTTTATTTGAAAGGCCTATTAATCCATTGTCGAAATAATTAGTTTACAATACGTTATTTTAATTCTTTCAATATCTTGATAGAACACAGCTAAATCAATATTGTATAAACCGATACTGCACCTAAATGGAAAAATTTACGACCTGTTTACCAGTGCCACAGTCATAAAGTCTTTCATCTATATTTATACCAATGATACATTTATTAATTTTAGTTTTATTTAAAATTCAACAAAAAATTCTAATTCTGTCGCGAATGTACGTTCCATATATACACGATATTTGCATGGGGAATTTCATACATTTATTCAAGTGAAGCAAAAAAATATTAAAAAAGTTATATCTGACAGTTCAATGATCAAATGTCACATTTTCACGTGGACAGCGTAACAGCTTCACGTTTTATACCGGTTGAATGTAATTAAAATAAAAATTCAACCGTAGAGTTTCTCATTTGATTTGCTTGACACAGCGTTTGGCCACTACGTTGATCCATACAATCATATCTGATTTGCTACCTCATACAGAAGAAAAAAATATATATATATATATATATATATATATATATATATAATGTAAGCTACTGGACATTACGCACTTATCTTCAGACAGATATCAAGCATATCTTGATGTTAAATGAAATAGAGGAAATGGGCATGAATTAATTATTAAAAAAACGGATATTTTTGTTTTATTTTTTAAAAATATTAAAGACAATAAGAATAATTACCTAAAGTTTTGAAGCAGGGATGATTAAAAAACATAGATTCTTGTTTTTAATATTCTAAAATGTACATATTTAAAAGACATATTAAGCGGGCGTCCACTAATCAGGTGATCAATTTAGACCCCTTTCCTCCTTGGTGATACGATGTGATATTTAAAATTATACCCACCCGCACCAAATTTACGTGGTTTTTTTGGTAGGTTACCAAGAAAAAAATGTCATTTTTTTTAAATTTAGGATTTTTTCTAAATTCTGGCAAAAAATAAATGCTCGCGATATTTTAATAAACCCCATCACTGATATTTCGAGATTTTGTGTCAAACACCTCCCCCCCCCCCTTTCAAGCCTTACGTGACAAATAAACTGCCCCTAAGACATACACTGAGCTACTAATATCATTATTATTGTTTTTTCATTTTATTTAAGTTTATTGAAAAAATAATTCTCCTAATTTCGTACCTGGCGATTTTTTCTTCTCCAGTTTCATTCAAATTGTTAATATGTCAAGTTCGTTACTTGACGCGAACAGAAGAAGCCGCGGAATCCGACACAAAAAAAGTATGAAGATATGTAAACTCTTGAATAGAGAAAGGTTTATTGTGTATGTTGGATGTGTTTTTTAATGTTATTTTTGATGACAGTACGTCATGATACCTGCTAACCGTGGGGAGTAAAGTGATTTCAGGAACCGTATGGGATTGACGTGCCGCTGGTTGCTTTCTTATTAGCTTACATTACCATAAGCATCAGTCGAGCACACGCATACGGGATGGAAACCGTTCGCTCGGCATCGGAATTGACAGCACCCTTAATTTTTATATTATGTTAATAACCTTTAGAATAAATCTTGAGAAATGTTTTCATAAAAGATGACATTAGCATTAATGCTAGATTTTCCTAAAATTTATTTTATAAATACTTTGCATTTTAGTGTCTTTTAGTGTTCTCTCTCTTTAAAAAAAAAAGTTTTTATAAAGTATTTTTGACCTTCCCGTGAGGTAAGTTATTGTAATCGTCCAAAAATCGAAATTAAAAATTTTTGCACATCTTTACGTTTCAGAGGTTTCTGAACATTTTGTCATACTTTGGCAAAAATGGATGTGTCAAATTTTCGTCCACGTCCACAATGGTTCAAAAAACATTCGGTTCCTATTGATCGGGAGACGGTCTGATTAGCTTTTGGCACAGTAAGGCCTGGCCGTTTCGGAGTTACGGGCTAAATGTGCAAAAAAAAATCAGTTTTTGAGATAACTAAGCATCCGATTTGAATAACTCAAAAAACTTGTGTGTGTGCTTGTGTAAACGAAACAATTGATTTCGGAGAAATTTTTTTTTTCAAAAAAAAATTTTTTTTTTGATATCAAAAATAATTTAAATTTTAATTTTAATTCTAGCTAAAGTTCCAAAGCTCACTTATATACTTCAAATACATAATTTTAACTTCGCAATTCAGTTTATATGATTTTTATAATCATTAGATAATGTCCATCATTTTAAATCCGATTGATTAAGTTTGGTTTATTTACTTTTTCGCAATAAATATATAAGCGTCATCGTCCAATTCATATATTTTGTCCTATAAAATAAGAATAATGAAAGTAGCAGTATTTATAAAAATCTATTTGATTACATTTAATATTCCATTAGTATTTCATTACGGTATGAGAGGTTCCAGTAATTGACACTAAGGCACAATGCCATACACCACTAGTCTGTTTTTGTATTAGTTACTACTACGTTTTCATAATCCGATCGCCAAATTATTCTAAAATTCAATATTGGGTCAGATATTTTAGCAAGCAGGATAGACTGGGTACGGTTGTGCCCAGTACCCAGTCTCCCCTAAACTTTTTATTTTTGTTGATTGAGAGAAATATTCGTGGAATTAAACAGCGTTATAGAAACATAACTGATAATTAAATCATAAAAATTTTGAAAATAAGAATTTATTTTAGTTTACCTAAAACTACTATCTTTAATTTATAATAATTATTAAATTTATTTATTATTAAATATTTATTTTACATTGCGTATGATAAAATAGAAAATAATTTCTGTGCTATCTCTTATTATAGACTACAAGATCGAATGTCAGTAGCACATATAAAAAAACCTGAATGCGCTATGTATGTATTAATTTTACATAGTAAAACGTAAAAAGTAAAATATAAATTTAAACGCGTTGACACCCGAGACGAAATCAAATAAAGCTGCTTTTTCATTCAAATACGTTGTTGATATTATATAATCTTTCTCTATTCAAATACAAAACGACCACAGGATTTACTCAGGTTGAGTGATGTCTCGACAGATTGGTATAATTTCTTGCTTGTTGTAATATAATATATAAATATAGAAATTGTAACTGAGAATATAAACTTATACATTAGTTGTTAGAAACGCATAAGGAGATTAGTGGTAAATAATTTTTTTTTAATCCAACGTAAAATCATAAACGAATCGTATGCGTTAAATTTTTAATGAACTAATGATTTTATTCATTTGGTAACTTAAAAGTGAAAAAATAAACTTGAGATTTTAATACAAACTTCTCGCACCAAAAACTAAATTATTAAAAAATACTATGCAAAACTTTGAAAAAATTAGATTCTTGAGGAATTTTTAATTTTTTGAAAAAAAAAAAGTTTTTTTTTGTATTTTGATTTATTTTGAAAATTTTTAATTTTTTTAAGCAATCGCACTGCATAGATGAGTTGGAGTCGAAATATCAGTAGGAATCGACTGTTTTTTTTTTAATTATTCAAATCATTTAATCCGTATAAACAAATAATTGTATCCGCACACACACACACATATATCCATTTTTTCTAAGGTATGCCAAATTTTAATTTTTTCACGATTACTATAACTTACCCTATGGGAAGTTAAAAATGTCTTTTTCAACAGTTACTGAATGTGACAGAAATAGAGTTCAAGGTTATCACAATAGCTCTACAAATGACAAACAAATAAAGAAATCCATAAATAATTTTTTTCGAATTTCATTTCACATCGACGCAAGAATGAAAAGAAACCACGAATTCAAATATCGGCAATTCGTCGGCGCGTGTGCGTCAATATTTGTCCGGACGGCTGATACACTTTTATACACATGTAGAAATATCCGATGTCACTTACGTTAGGTGTGTTGCCCGTAATTAGCCTGAGGCCGTAAATAATAGTCAATGTTGTAACAGCTTTGACATTGCTACCGAGATGCCAACGTATTGATTCACACAGTGACGAACTTTTGTGGAATAATAAAGTTCGCCTTTTTATTATTTTACTATAAGGTCAACTCTGTTCTTATTAACTTTTCATATAATCCAAATGTAGCAGTAGCCGTTTGAGTACTGCGATGTGGGAAAGCAAACACAAATCTAAAATTTTCTAAATCGTTTTGATGATTATTTTAATATTAACAAAATCTGAATACTAAATTAGTAGAAATTTCGAACAAACTAATTCACATTTGTAATACCTTTTATTACTATTTACACTGCGCGACAAAAATGGCACTTTTATTTTTTTCCTCGAACTTTTTTCTTAAATCTACTTGGAATTGCGCGCTTTTTCACATCTACTTAGAATTGCAAATATGTTGTATTTTTTGTTGTAATTTGAGGTAAACTCAGCATATTGGCATATTTCAAAAACTAGAGCTGTAAGCAAATTTCTGTTACTGTTTTTGAAATCAGCGTCATCGAATTACTTAAAAACTATCATAGCATCTCAGGCATAAAAATTGTGTCGCGCAGTGTTGCATGGCATTGTGCCTTGGCAAGTTGTTGCAATTTCTCGAACTAATATAATATGAGTGCCTATATTTAGGCGACGACCTTTATCTATGTGTATCGACAAGAACAAGAACATAATAAATAAAAGCTAATCATTTCTTCATACCGTCTAACTATACTTCGTAGATTGAAATCTAAACTACAATAGAATTAACTTTGACATAATATGTACTGAAAAGTCTGTAAAAGCTCGGTTGCCGTATAATTTTAGTTTTAGTAATTTATTATAAAATATACTATGGAGCAATTGTAACCAAATAGATAATAAATTTTTATATGATTTTATAGTTACATATAAAA